TGTCTTAATCTTTGGTAACATTTCTCAAAAAAAAAGAAAAAAAAGAAATCTTATTTTTGATGCTTTTCTCTCCTACATATTTTGCATTATATGCTCTTTCTAATCCTATTGTTTGATCAAAGGGGTAAATGGTAGTTCTTAGAAACGGTTTACAGAGCAGAGGTGGCGGGGAGGGGGAGGAAAGCTCTCGGGAATTCAGGTGGGGGAAAATGCCCCAAACCCTGCTTCTGAATGGAGCACATGCTGGGAGGTACAGGTTTCCCTGACAGAAATCTGGAGTCTGCTTCCAGGCTCGGAGGGATTATGGTTAGGTCAGCTATCATTACTTCCCGACTGTGGCTTCCTAATGTGGCAGGTATTGCTTGAATGATAGTTTAAGGAAATGTGAGAGATGAAAATGATAAGGGAAGATTTGGGGCACTTAATTACGATTTTTTTTTTCATTTGTAGGTCTAGAATTTAAAATGAAGAAACTGCAGTTAGGCGTTTTTAAAACTATATCGGAGTTTATTAAAGTTGTTCATGCAATCTCAAAATAGAATCAGTGTTTTAGGGCTTAATATTTGCTTTCTCTTCTCCATTCATTAACATAGTAATTTGGTATTTCTTTAAGGTAATATTTTCCACACATGCATAAACACTTAAAGAAGTGTTTTGGTGTATGTGATATATAGCAAATTTCTATTTTTAAAGAAGAACCGATCTGAGGCATGTAAAATCAATGTTATTTCTGAATTTATTAAAATACATTGGCTAACTAGGCCAAACAACTGTATAAACTTTAGTTATTTTTGTAGAAGTTTATCCACTTTTTGGCAACAATTTTCTGAATTTTTGTAACCCAGGAAAGCCTCCTGATATAATTACTATGCCCCAAAGTTTAGCATCAACTTAGACAAATTCGTCAATAGTGCCATATTTCTCTGTAGATATTCCCTGCACCTTTTGATCCTAAACTTCACAAAATTTAAAGAATTAAAATGATAGAGAGAAATGTGATAGTAATTTCAACATCAAAATGGTAGAACTTTCACTATGAAATTTCCCAATACTGTGAACTGATGCTAATAGTTTATTTTTTAAGTCTGTCAAATGCTAAAACAGTGCCTCTATCTAGTCGTTAATGAACATGTGTAAACAGGTTTAAACTCTAATTATTTAAGATTCCTAGAGATATAAACAGAGAACAGACTTGACCTATGCTCAAGTCATATGCTGGCCAAAAACCTTTGCATAAAGACCTTCATGCAACAAGTTAGAAAAGGGAAGAAAAGAAGGAAGGCAAGGAGGAAGAGTCAGTCTAAATTCCATCTAATATTTTTAAGCATAGCTACCCTTTCTGTCTTTACAAGTCAAGTAGGGAGCTTTGTTTTTGTTCTTTTCATTATTTACAAAACACATTTTCACTGACAAACTGAAAAGGACTTTCCCAAATGTGAGAAAAATATTGATATTCATATAACACATTAGCAACTAGCCTTAGGTCTTATAGGATGTGAGGATAGTTGATTACTGTGCAAGACAGGTGAATTAATTATAGTTTTAGGTAACAAAAAGTCGGTGTTTTCTTGTTTTCCACTTTCTAAATCTGCCAGGGTGCCTTATGTCTTCGAATTCCCTAGGTATAAGAGGCGTTCCGACCTCCCTTCGGGGCAATAGTGAAGTTATTCTGAGCAATCCACATCAGTGCAAACATTTCTTCCTTTCCACAATCTATTAGGAAATAAGGAATTGAATTCAGAGCATTCTATTAGTCTTAAGCGATCTCAGACTGACTTTTTCCCCCGCAACTTGAAAACTATCCTGGATTTTTTTTTTTTTTTTACTATATCCAAATAAGTAATTTAATAAATAGATAAAAAACAATCAGATGCATAAAACATACGCTTTGCTTACATGTGAATTTTCCTCAAAATAATTTCTTAATAATCATGAAGTGAGGGGATGTGTTTTCATTTACATCTCATTGCAAAAATGAGCAGAGATGTATATCCTAAATCCTGAAGGACAGCTCCAAGCGCTCCAGCTTCTCTTTAAGTTGGCAGGCGGTTGCTTAGTAGGATTTGGAAAACATTACGAGTCGTCGCGGAGGAAATGCAATATTAGACACGCAGTCTAACGGTAGCAGAAGAGAAGTAGATGATCTCTCCTTTTCCGATCGCCACTTCAGTGTCTCTGGCTTTTCCTCTCGGTCCCTCCCATAGTTTTTTTTTTTTTTTTCCTTATCCCCTCCCCTCCTCCTTTTCTCGCTCTCTCGCTTTCCCTCGGTGCCTCGCGCTCTCGGAGTCTCTGCTCCGAGTTCCTGGTTGGATAATTTGGGTTAATACTAGTGAGTGAGGTTTTTGCGGCTTCAAAGGGTATTTCAAGTTTCCGGAGCTCCTCCCCTCTGCACCGTGTGACAACAACAACTCGTCCAGCCGGCAGCCTGCACTTTTCAGCTCATTTTCTCTCTGTCATTCCCCTCTCAATCTTTGATCAATGTACTTGCCAGGGAGAACCCAAGTCCTTCAAACCTCCTCCTTTTCACCTTCATCCTTAACTTTGTGCTAGAGCG